TCTGTTGATGTTTTTTTTTAGATGTGATGTTAAACCCGTGTATGTTGCTGAAAAATTAATGAAAATGTCAAAAAGAAAACTGTTCAAATTAGGCACTGGATGAATGTATGTCTTTGCTAGAAATGACACGAACGATTTCATTTTCATTTGATGTTTGATCTATTTCTTACATGTTTTGCTTGACGGTTTATGTTTTCGGGTCGAGTTAGTCCAGTAAAAAAAAATATAAAAACTAAACAAGAAAAAAGCTAAAAAAATATATTAATTAATTAAGATAATTTACTTAATTTATGATTAATAAAATTAATTAATTTTAATTAAAGTAAATTAATCATGTTTATTAATCTTAATTTAAGATAATTTATTACTTAATGATCTTGATTAAAGATTAATAATGTGATTAATTAATTTTAATTAATATTAAATTAATCATTTAATTAAGTTAATCATCATAATTAATTAATTTAAATCTTTAATTTCCTTTAATATTAGTCAAAGTCAAAATTATCTTTCTTCATTTCAATTTCACCCAGAACTTTCATGATTAAACAATTTGGTCCTAAGGTTTTAAATCTTTTTTTTTAGTCCTCCATGTTTTTTTTTTGAATTAACCAAATCAATCCATTTAATTTTTATTTGTGTTTATTGTGCACGCATATGTCTTTGATTTCATCCATTTTAGTCCAAAAATTTAAAAATGTTGCAATTTGATTTATCTCTTTTTCAAGTTTGCTTATTAAAACTCAAACATAAATATAATAAATAAGTTGAATTAAAATCCCAATTTTAAAGTATGCAATCGTGTTTAGATGGAGGATTGTGAGGTGTGCATATGCCCTTCCTCACTCCTAATCGAACCTTCGAACTGCGATCTTTGCGCAGACTAATTTTAGGTGACTTGTCCCACCTTATAATTTGGACGAGTGACGACTCCCTCTTTTTTATATTTTTACACTTAATTTTTCATTGTTTTTGAAATCTTAAGTGATTGTCAACACTGAGCATATCCCTTTACTACAAGCCTAGCCTTGTGCTTATGAATTGAGCCATCTGGGTTCATTTTAGTTTTATAAACCCATTTGACCCTTATCACCTACTTCTATTCTAGTTTAGAAGTTAATTCCCAAGTGCCATTCTTATTAATCATGTCTATCTCCTCCTACATTGCTTGAATCCAAACTTCATGTTGAGAAGCTTCAAAATAAGTACTTGGTTCTAACATGGCCAAGTTACACTTCTCATAAATATTTGACAACCTTCTAGTTTTTAGTACAGGAGTATCCTGATAAGCATCAATACCAGCAACTTCTGAATCATCAAATAAATTCTGATCAATCTTTTTGGAAGCTTCTGCATCATCATTTGCAACAATAGCCTTGACAACTTCCTTCTTATTCCAGTCCCAATATGCATTCTCATCAAATTGTACATCTCTGCGAACAGTAACTTTCCCAATCGCCATGTTATAAATTCTATAGCCTTTGAATTGTGTAGCATACCCCACAAATATACCAAGTTCTGCCTTTGCATTTAGCTTGGTTCTCTTAACAGATGGCACATGACAATAACATATTGAGCCAAAAACCTTTAAATAATTGGCAAAAGGTTTAAGGCCATACCAAGCTTCAATTGGAGTCATTCCTTGCACTACTTTTGTAGGGAGCCCTTTCAACAAAAATACTGCTGTATTCACAGCCTCAGCCCAGAGTTCATAGGCAATTTCTTTCATATAACATGCATCTTTCCATTTCCATAATAGTCATGTTCTTCCTTTCAGCAACCCCATTTTTTTGTAGAGTGCATGGGACTATCAATTGATGAGCTATACCAGCATCTTCATAAACTTTATCAAATTCAGAGGAGGTATACTCCTTGCCATTGTTCGACCTGAGAGTCTTGAGCTAACATCCACTTTGTTTTTCAACAAGGGCTTTAAATTTCTTGAACATAGAGAAGACTTGAGATTTGTTGCTCAAGAAATAAACCCATATCATTCTAGTAAAATCATCAATGAATAGCGCAAAACAAACACTTTGGCTAAGAGATGGTGTCTTCATTGGCCCACAAACATCTGTGTGCACTGTCTATGCAACTTTCCATATTGATAGCTCCCACAAATATCATCATTCAAATAAACCTCAAACATGTCTCTAACTAATTCATTAGATTGCATGAATTTTAGAGACTTGACATTAAAATGTCCATATATCCTATGCCATAAATTAGTGTTGTTGACCTTAGAAACATACACGAATTGTATAGGAGACTTCAAAAGCAATGGAAAACAATTATCAACCATATCAACTCTAGCCAATTCAACACCATTAGGATCATAAATGTGATAGGAATCATGCATAAATGATACTGAATAACCATTCCTCAACATCTGAGCTGCATTAAGCAGATTGTGGCTCAAATAAAGTATGTAAAGAACATTAGAGATGTATTTGGTACCTCTCTTTGATTGAATAGTCATTGTGCCTCTTCCATCTGATTGAACCATAGAGCCATTGCCCAACTTGACCTTAATCTTCACTGAAAGGTCCAGTTTTGTAAAAAGGTCCTTATCTTTCACCATATGACTAGTGTAGCCACTATCAACAAGCCATGAGTGCTTATTACTAGACGAATTACCATGCAAGGTCATAAATAGATGATCTTTTCCATAATAATCAGTGAAATGTGCTTGCTGAGTTTTTTGTTTTGGCTTACATTGATTTTACTTGGCTTTGTAGTTTCTTTGAATGTGACCGATCTTCTTGCAAAACTTGCATTGTACTTGAGGCTTTTGTTGGAGCTATGGCATGAAAGCTGAAAATGCAGTGAAATGAGATCTGCTAAATGATGCTGCAACATGAGTGCACAGTAGCAGCAAAGTGACAGTAGCATGGAGCTTCACATGGGCTACAAGAAATGGTAGCAAACTTCATCATTCTAGTCAATGTTTTAGGTAGTTAATAATTATAGTTTAGGTAGAAAAATATTATTGTTTTATGTGTAGCCTTCCTCTATAAAAAGGAAGGAAGAAATTGATGAAAATTGAGAGAAAGAGAGCATGGTTTCTCCTCTCCGGTTGGGTGACTGTACACACCCTTCCATGTTTATGGCTTTTATGTTTTATGTCATGTTCTAAGTTCTACTCATTTTTCTCTCTGTTTTTTTCTCTCCATTTTTTCTTTTCTGCAAAAACGTTACATGGTATTAGAGCCTTTCATGATCTTTGAGGGCATGTGTGAGAGAGATTTGAGGGAAATAGACCACCACAAACTCTGACTAAACCCAAATTGCTACCAACAAGTTTTTTCTTTCAAAATGCCCTTTTTTTTCTAACCCAACACAACGAATTTTTTTTTTTTTTTTACTTCAACTTAGAAATATCATTGATATTTTGCTATATTTATAGCAAAAACAACATAATAAAAAAATAATTTCTTCTCACCTAATATTTTACTTAATACAAGAAAATCTATCAAACATTTAAAACAAGATTACATTCAAAAGATTTATGCCTAAGCACCTGGGATTAGCCCTTTGCTGTCCATCTTGTGCTTGGTTTTCACCATTTTTTTTTTTCATCACAGTCACGTACCATCCTTCTTTGGATTTTACTGCCTCAAACAAATTTTGGAGGTTTTGCAACTAAGTTGCATTTTCCAAGGATTTTGGTACCTTCAAGTGCTGCTTCATCATCTTTTTCATCTTCTACAGCTTTCTTGGGCTAAAGACTTGGCTACTCGATCATGAAAATGACTTAATGCAATGTTGAGTACTCTCATGGTCCCAATTTGCACCTTCACAAGCTATCCTTTCCTTTTTGGACAAATGTTGTAGCATAAAACACCACCTATACCAGCAACATAAAACATCATCAAACCAGCATTCTTTGATCTTGCTTCTTGCAGATCTTCTGCCTCAAGAAGATTGAAGGACATTAAGTTAACCTTCAACTTCACAGCTTCACATACTCTCTTCTGCCTTAGCAAATTGGTTGCATCCTTTTATCAAGCACTTTCAAAGATTAAAGGACCTAAAGTTAAGCTTCATAATCACAAAGAAAATGGAGAGAAAACCAGGAAGAGCATAAACAAAATGGCAAATTCAAGGTGCTAAAGTAAAATTGTGTTTTTGTAGCCTTAATGCCAAGGAGAAGTTTGTTGGAGCTATGGTATGAAAGCTGAAAATGCAGTGAAATGAGATTTGCTAAATGATGCTGTAACATGACTGCACAATAGCAGCAAAGTGACAGCAGCATGGAGCTTCACATGGGCTACAAGAAATGGCAACAAACTTCATCATTTTAGTCAATGTTTTAGGTAGTTAATAATTATAGTTTAGGTAGAAAAATATTATTGTTTTATGTGTAGCCTTCCTCTATAAAAAGGAAGGAAGAAATTGATGAAAATTAAGAGAAAGAAAGCATGGTTTCTCCTTTCCGGTTGGGTGACTGTATGCACCCTTCCATGTTTATGGCTTTTATGTTCTATGTCATGTTCTAAGTTCTACTCATTTTTCTCCTTGTTTTTTTCTCTCCATTTTTTCTTTTCTGCAAAAATGTTACAACTTTCCCTTATACCAGCAATCTTTTTCTTCATGATTTGTCCTCTTACAAGTAGGACATGGTGGAAATTTGTCCTTTAGCTGCTATGATTGAACAACGACTGCTTTTCCTTGTTCAACTCTGCTAAGAGGTTGCCTTTTTTCATGACCAGCTGCATGTTGCTTTTCCTTAGCATGTAATGCACCTTCAGTTGTATCTTCAGCTCTTAAGACAACTCGTTGTTAGCCACATGTTAGCTCCTTCAAGTTGCAAGACTGCTCTATTGTAGAGATTTTTTACTCGAACCTGTCAGGAAGGCTCACCAACATTTTTTCCACAACCATGGCATTAGGAAAGTCCTCACCATTTAATTTGATTTTATTAACTAGATCCATCACCCTTGAAGAATATTGATGAACAGTCTCTATATCCTTCATCTTCAACATAGCAAACTCTCTTTTGAGAGTAACCATGTTCTGGCCTTTGACTCTTTCATCTCTTTCGTATTCCTTCTTCAAAGTTTCCCATGCATCTTGAGTTGTCTCAGCTTTCATAATTCTAGGAAAAATTTCATCAGAAACCTCACTTTGCATGAAAGACAAAGCTTTGTAGGATCCTGCAACATAATCTGCATGGTTCTTGATCTGAGCTAGACTTGGATTTTGGAGTAACCATGGAGGATTAAAGCCCCTTTCTACTGATTTCGACACATCATTACTTCTCAAGAAGGTCTTCATCTTGATGGCCTAGACATTGTAGTTTTTGCCAGTGAACAACAAAGGATTAGAAAGAGAGCTTGCATGGTTGTTTGAAGACATAGCTATGATATTTTATTACACAATACACTCCCTCACATACACTCATGCTTCCACTCTCTCATAGTCCCTCAAGAATACAGCTCTAATACCACTTTGATGGAGATTAGAAGAAGATGCGCCCAAAAGCTCACTATAAGAGGAAAAACAAAGGAGAAATTAAGGGAAAACTTGGAAAACATGACCATGCGTCTTCCTCTGATATCATTGACTGAAATATGGAGCTTGCTTCTTACATTGTACAAACTTGAGTGGTTTTGACCACTATCTACCAAAATACAAAAAGACAAATTACATCACATGGCTCCAATACATTTAAACATAATTAAAATACTAGCTAATGAGTATCTAAGTAAAATGCACACTTCCATCAATGCCAACCACAAAAAATGGAAGAAAGTCAATGTCAATCATAAACTTTGTGTGTGTGTGTGTCTATAGTTTCTTATTGATTTTTTTAGATCTTTGCCAGCATAAACCATAGACTAAGGCATTCAAGATGACAATGCAAGAAACGGTTATAAGGCTGATAATGAGCTCTACTCTTAGGTTTCCATGAGCTGAAAATATTGTAGGGGGAAATAACAATGAGAGAGAATAATGAAATGAATAATGAGAATCAATCATTTCTGAAGTGAAGAAAAAACAGGTGAGAAAAAACTGAACTCATTTGAAAACATTGCTTAAGCCAATAATATCATCACCTAATTCAGAGGATGCAAGATGAATGAAAAGCTCTTCCCCACCGCTGGAGAACTTTTGCACATCCATAAGGTCATCACTCCACAACAGACACCATATTCCCTTTACATATGCATAAGCCTTACAAGAACAGTTATTCAAGCACCACTGTCCGCATTCGTTTACATCCTTAACATCTTGATACTTGGAATTATCTGGGAGTTTCATTCCACTCATTTCCAAAACTTATTCGTTCCTACCCCCTGTGATGTTTTCTCACCCGTCCCTACCACACAACTTAATTCAGTTCGTCTAATGCACCCTCCTGTCTAATTTTTTTTGTTCCATTCCTCATTTGACTTTGGTACAAATTCTTTAAGGTAGCTACAAATAGGAAGTTCGAATATTTTACAGACCCCAAATGTCCACAAGTTCGATAGACATCACATGTTTTGTTTGGTCCTTTCCATATTGAATACTAGCCTGTGCCTTTTCCCCAAAACATTATCTTTAGAGAACGATCAGATGAAATGCCCATACTTGCAAATCTGTTCGTGGTGTTAAGATTTATATACAATGACCTGGTTCCTTGATCAATATTCTGTACAAGGCTAAATGCGCTTGAATATGTTGAATCCATATTTGGTATACCAATTAACTATATTCTATTCCACTCCCTGCTTGTCTAGTAAGACACTGATCCATTCCAAATAAAAGCTCGTGGTGGTAATCGCGGTACAATTCCAGCAACAAAATCCCCAGGTGATGGATCTCTACTACTTTTCCAAGATGACAAGAAACATCTCTCACCTGTTTCAAGATCATACCCGAGACCTGCATTGGGTAATAAAGTATTACTTGGGTGCTCAAAGCTTTGCCATAACTCCTGTTCAGATAAACCATCACGTAGAACTAAGTTTCCATCATCCAAAAGGACAGCCTCTGAACTATTTGATTGGATAGAAACATTGCTTGACCAGAGAGTTACTTCATTGCCATCTACGAGCTTCAGGTTTCCATCACCACTAATCTTTAGACTTGCCAATGAGTCAATAACTGGATTCTCTCTGTTGGCTAGCCAAACAACTGTGTAAGGAGCAATGTTTTTATACATGTTATACCCTAAATCAAGTCCCATGAGAATCAGGACACATGGAGACATTTTAGAAAATAGTATTATCAAAGTTGGCTAGGATAAATCCCACTAGAATAAAAATACTTCAAACACCAATTAAATAAAATTGTATTCCTAAAATAACTGTATATAAGCATCTACCTCTAAGATCAACCTAAGAAGGCAGATTATTTTTCCATCACCACTTTCTCTCCATTGTAAACTCCCTTTATAAATAAAGATCTTGGTTCCACACCATCTATTCTATTTTTTAGTGTTAACATTTGGCGCCCACCATGGGGCTCAGCACTTTTCAGTCCACAAATACCGCATGGAAAATTTAGAAAATTCATCACGACCTCGTAGAAGTATTCCAAGCTCTAGAAGCGAGGACAAAATGAGTGACTCTTCATCATCAAGAACAAACCCAAGAAATACTGTTAATAAAACAAAACCATCAGATTCAACCATGGCATCACAAATACAGAAACTTACACAAGACATGGAGGAGACGAGGCAAAGTTTAAAAGCAATTGAGCAAACCATAGCATCCATGACAAAAACTGCTAACACCTCATCGCAAGAAGTAAGACGTGAACGCTTGTCACAAAGTGATGCCAAGACATTAGAAGCGAAGGAGCAAGATTCAACATAGGAAAACAGCAATCAAGATGAAAGTTACGTACCTTCAAAACCAACAGAATTGACGATCGAAACGAGTCTACAACCATCCTCAGCTTTCACTCAATATAATTTTCGAAGCAAAAATGTGATACCTCGCACACATTCAAGCTAAAGAAGTGACAGCCAGCAAGTCTATAAGGCTACATTTGCCACAATAAAACCATAAAAGGCAGAAACACAAGTTCATGATGATGATATTTACAAAGAAATTGAAGCATTGTGACAACATCTGGCACAAATAGAAGTAGGCAGGAAGAGGTACGCAAAACTAGCACACATAGCTTCAGTAGAAAAAAACCTTTATAGATGAAATCATCAGGGGACCTGTGCCATCAAATTTCAAAACTCTGCAGCTAGCTGAATACAATGGAACTCAAAACCCAGTGGAGCACGTGTAAGGATATAGAATGACAATGATGGTATCTGGAGCCTTGAATGCTCTATTATGCAAGCAATTTCCAACAACTTTCAAGAAAGCTGCGTAGACTTGAGCTCCTCGAAAGACCAACCATCATCTCTTAACAATCAAACAGAAGACAAGAGAATCATTAAGAGCCTACATAACATGATTCCATAATGAAGTTGTGAAAATTGAAAAGTTAGACCAAAGCGAAAGATCTCCAAGTAAAGAAGCATAAGAGAAAAAGCTACGAGGAGACCAAGCCTAGTGGAAGAAAACACATGTTGATTGTTGGAATTCCTAAAGCACCGCTGTTTGCATAACTCTGCATCATTCAACAGAAAGCTACGAAGGAACGAATTAACAACTTACTAGATAAGTTTCATATCTTTTTACAATAGTTAAATAATTATTTTCATAAACTTATCAATTATGATCTTGAAAGCACTAACAATTTTCTCATCTCTCTAAAGTAATTGAGATAACAAAATCTATATAGCTTGTTTCTATTCTAAACCTGCGCAGGAGAAAATCTTAAGATGATATAAAGCGCAAGTGATCTACTACCACAAAGGAATACATGTTTGCAAGACTTTTAGACTTAGAGTCATATTGCACCTAATAAATAAACATGTGCTTGCAAGAGATGTATAAGCAAACATCTGCCACATGCAAGAATGCACTGGATACCAAAATCTAGTAACTCAATTATGATGTGACTCAAATACCTACGCAGCATTATCATGATTGGATAGATAGAAAAGCAAGCACTTTGTTAAAAGGCGGAGAACACAACTACCTCCATATTTGAAGAAACTTTGTCATAATCACATTCAACCACATCAAATGATGAATCAAATTCTGCATTCGCAAGGCAAGATAGACATCTCAGAATTCTACATGCACAAAAGAAAGCTGCGATCCCAGCTAAGCATATTTACTTTTTAATTTTCTAATTTTCAACCTTAATAATCATGCAAGTTATTGTATTTTTAAGAAAGCTAACCTTTTTCTTAAGAAACTTTTGGAGAAGGCCACATAGGCTAAAATGCTCCAAGCAGAGGAATTCAATTACAAGATGCACAGGTCTAACAAGAGTTATGAGACATAAAGTCACAAAGCAAAATCCAATGCGAGAGCAAAAGTTGCAAGCAAGTTTGGGTGTACATTAAATACCCAAGCAGAAGTTACACAAGCAAAAGCTGTGAGCAAGTTTGGGTGTACATAAATACCCAAGAAAAAGCTGCGAGTAAGTTTGGATGTACATAAATATCCAAGCAAAAGCTATGAGCAAGTTTGGGTGTACATAAATACCCAAGCAAAAAGCAAAGCTACGAGCAAGTTTGGATGTACATAAATATCCAAGCAAAAGTTACGCAAGCAAAAGTTGTGAACAAGTTTGGGTGTACATTAAATACCCAAGCAGAAGTTACACAAGCAAAAGTTGTGAGCAAGTTTGGGTTTACATAAAATACCCAAGCAAAAGTTACACAGGCAAGTAGAAGCTGTGAGCAAGTTTGAGTGTACATAAAATACTCGAGTAAAAGTTACACAGGCAAGCAGAAGCTGTGAACAAGTTTGGGTGTACATAAAATACCCAAGCAAAAGTTACACAGGCAAGCAAAAACTGTGGGCAAGTTTGGGTGTACATAAATACCCAAGCAAAAGTTATGCAAGCAAAAAGCTGTGAGCAAGTTTGGGTGTACATAAAATACCCAAGCAAAGGTTACACAGGCAAGCAAAAACTGTGAGCAAGTTTGGGTGTACATAAAATACCCAAGCAAAAGTTACACAGGCAAAAAGCTGTGAGCAAGTTTAAGTGTACATAAAATACCCAAGCAAAAGCTGCGAGCAAGTTTGGTGTACATAAATACCCAAGCAAAAGTTACGCAAGCAAAAAGCTGCAGGCAAGTTTGGGTGTACATAAATATCCAAGCAAAAGTTACACAAGCAAAAGTTGTAAGCAAGTTTGGGTGTACATTAAATACCCAAGCAGAAGTTACACAAGCAAAAGCTATGAGCAAGCTTGGGTGTACATAAATACCCAAGCAAAAGTTAGAAACAGAGCTTTCTAAAGCAAAATCTTTGAAGCTAGCTCATTCAATTATTGATGAAAAGAAGAATTGGATGATTCAAGAGATATCTTCTCAACAAAAGCAGCACAAGAGATAAGTTCTTTCTTCTTTTTTAATAAATTATAACATTCTTAAACTGACAACACAGGTTTATGATACCTTTGCTTTTCCCTCGTATCTAAATAAGATCAACCTTAGCACGCAAGTAGCATAAATCCAAAGTACCAATGAGTTACAGAGCTTTCTCTTAAAACAGATGGATAATGGGAATCAGCATCATATACCTAAGCACATTTAAAGAACGGAATTAAAGTAGTACAACCCAAATGTTTTCCCAAAAATAAATGTTCTTTATATGCAGGTTCAACAAAAGGCTAGAATAGTCAGATCTATCATTCCTTGAAGACAACTGTAGGAACCTTTGTTGGAAAGGAAGGGATCACAAAATTTCTCTCTACATGACACAAAGCACCCTTCACCACAAACCGATCGTCATTGCTGCAACGAAAAAGAAAAATATCAAAAATATTTCGACTCGAAAGAAAGAATGCTCATCATGACAAAAGCAGAACTTACTAGAGCTCCGACGGCAACAAAAGGAGAAATGATCGGAGCTCCGACCGTAGCAGAAGTTGCCAAAAAGCCCTGACTACAGCGGAAGGAGCCCTAGCAAAGATCTACCTCCATCTTAGTGATATCCCAATAAATCGAAGCAATAATGGCAGAATCAAAAGGATCCCCCTCCATCAAAACAGGAAAATGGCAAAGAAAAAAAGAAGAAACTGAAAAAGCAAAAAGAAAGAGCAAAAAGAAAAAATAAAGAAAGAAAACAAAAAGGAAACCGAAATGAAAAAGGAAGTCAAACAAGAAAAAGAAAAAGAAGAATTGGGAAACCCAAGAAAGCCCCATTTGAAAGCCAAAAGGATAAATTGCATAAAATCCCAAGGAAATAGGGGTTTGAACTTGGAAGGACCTGTCGTACCAATAAACCATACAATGGGGGCCATGTACATAAAAAAAGGCTGCCAAGAAGTAGAAAATCCAGGAAATGCAACTGTAGAGATATGAAAAAATCAAGAAAGGACATGAGCAAATCAGCACAAATTTGCAGAACAATTAATTTCAACAAAAATACTTTTTAATGAGGAAACTACACCAAGAATCATGAAGGGAAAACCTGCACTGCACTCTTTTTTCCTTAAGCTAGATTTTTTATCCCATAGGGTTTTTTCTAGTTAAGGTTTTTAACGAGGCAGTTACGGTTGAAAAGGCTGGAACCTGTGCAAAATTCAAAATCAAGATCAGCAGAGCAATAAGAAAGACATACACTCGTTGAAATTTTCACTACCCTCAAACTTCTTCATTGGGGGGGTAAATGTTATACCTTAAATCAAGTCCATGAGAATCAAGACACATGGACACATTCTAGAAGATAGTATTATCAAAGTTGGCTAGGATAAATCCCACTAGAATAAAAATACACCAAACACCAATTAAATAAAATTGTATTCCTAAAATAACTGTATTTAAGCATCCTATAAATACCTCTAGGATCAACCTAAGAAGGCAGATTATTTTTCCATCACCACTTTCTCTCCATTGTAAACTCTCTTTATAAATAAAGATCTCCGTTCCACACCATCTATTCTATTTTTTAGTGTTAACAATACAATATACCAACATACTAATTAGTGGAATTATCAGGGCGAAAGAAGCTTAACTCAAAAATTTGGGCAGGGGAGACAAGGATTTCATTTTGTGATAATGGATTGGATGAAGTTATATTATATGTTGCAGCATAGCAGTGCAAAAGAAACAAGGTCAAAAAGATGAAGATGGAAGATAATAAAATGCAAAAGCGTTGGTTCTCTGTAGGCATGTTCCTTTGGAAATTGTTTGTTCAAAAGATCAGAGATGTTAGGATGAATATGTAAAAGTAAGTAGATAATTAATAAGTTCCATTTTATTTTAGGAAAATAATTTCAGTGTTTGTTTGAACTTTCAGTAGAAAAAAAAATGCTTCTAATGTATAAGTGAAGTACAAGTCAAGATCTATCTTTCAGAAATGTTCTTTCTCTATTGTTGCATAAATCATCGTTGTAATTTTTATTCATAGGTTTCTTGCTCTTTGCTTTAAATATCATTCACAGAAACATTATTCCAGTCCTATTTATGCCTAATTAAGTAAGAACCATAATTTGCTAAAGACTACATCTGCTAAAAATGGCATTGGCAGCCATACTCTCTCCATCATTTGAGAAAGTCCGTTGTATCTCAAGGATACCATGTCAGTAGTATCTCTGGCCAATCACAGCATGCCACATCAATGCTTTTTTTCCCACATCATTAGCCATGTTAGCACTTTTTTTCCACATTAGCAGTATCCATTAATACGGTGGAAAAAAAGCGTTGATTTGGCTAGGGATGTCGCTAATGTAGTATCCCCAGATATAGCAAACTTTCTCCCATCATTCATCTTCTGCAGTAGGCTGCTAAGAGAAAAGTTGGAAGTCTCCAGTTTGGTTTTTGTTTGAAATATTAAAATGGGAAACTTGGGTGGGTTTAGCTAAGCACTCAAATTGTGTTTATTTGAAGAAGTTTCTTTTTTTGGCTAGCAAGATTTGGTTTTAGAAACCAAATGAAGTATGATATTATTTAGCGAATGAGTAACAGAGTTTGAACAAGGGAATTCTGAATAACTTAATTTTATTCATGAGTATGCAACACTTAAATATACAGGCGCACAAACTTAGTAACCCTATTACAAAAGGAAACATAATATAATATTCACTAAATCAAAGATTGACACTAAATCAAGGATTGGCATAAATAAGGAGCGGGAATTGCTCATGAAGAGATTGCAGAGATCTTTTCCTTAACACACCCCTGCAAGATGGAGGAGCCGTCTGCGACGCCAATCTTGGACCTCAAATAAGTAAAGCGAGCACTGGATAAGGGCTTGGTAAGTCCATCGGCAAACTGATCTTTAGAAGAGATATGAGAAACTCGAAGGACTTTGTGGTCCACTAAGTCACGAACAAAGTGCAAGTCGATGGCAATGTGTTTCATGCGAGAATGCATGACTGGATTGCTGCTGAGATAGGTTGCCCCTATATTATCACAGTAAAGCGCAGGGGGTGTGGAAGGATGGATGCCAAGCTCATGAAGAAGATTAAGAATCCAAACCATTTCGGAGTTAGCTGCTGCTAGTGCTCTGTACTCTGCCTCTGTTGAGCTTCGTGCTACAGCTCGTTGTTTGGTTGCTTTCCAAGACACTGGAGTGGAGCCAAGATACATCACATAGCCAGTTGTGGAAATTGAAGTGTCCTTATCACTAGCCCAATCAGCATAAAAAAAACCATGAAGAGACAAAGAGGTTTGTGGACGAAGCAGAAGGCCATGAAATTTTGTACCATTAAGATAGCGAAGAACACGTTTTACTGCTTGCCAATGAAGATCACTAGGATTATGCATGAATTGAGATTGCCGGTTAACAGCAAAGCATAAATCTGGCCGAGTTAAAGATAAATACTGAAGGGAACCAACAATTTGTCTATATGTCGTTGGGTCGGTGAGTGAGTGACCTAAGAATTGCCGAAGAGATGTTGTAGAAGAGAGGGGCGTGCTTACTACTTTGGCATTGTCCATGCCCGCTCGTTGCAAAATGTCTTGAGTATACCGTAGCTAGGAAAGAAATAAGCTAGCACTAGTTTGAATAGCTTCCACTTCGAGAAAGAAATCCAGTTCACCAAGATTTTTCACGGAAAATTTGGAACTCATGGCAGTGATCAAATTGTCAATAGCAATAGGATTGCTTCCAATGATGAGTATGTCATCTACATACACCAAGAAATAAAGCCAATTAGTATTCTGATGATAAATAAAAAGGGAGCAATCAGACCTCGAATTGGTGAGACCGTGAGCAAGCAGAAACTGTTTTAATTCTCGAAACCACATTCTTGGGGCCTGTTTAAACCCATAGATAGATTTTTGTAACCGACAAACATGGTGAGGTAGATGAGGATCAATGAACCCAGCGGGTTGCTGCATAAATAATTGTTCATCAAGTTTCTCGTGAAGGAATGCGTTGTTGATGTCTAACTGATGAATTTTCCAACCCTTGCTTACAGCGATGGAGAGAATGGCTCGGATTGTTGTTGGTTTGATAACTGGACTGAAGGTTTGAGTGTAATTGGTCCCCGGTTGTTGATGGAAACCCTTAGCTACAAGTCTGGCTTTATAACGTTCAACTCGTTCATCTTTGCCTTGTTTCAACCTGAAAACCCACTTACAACCAATAATATTTTGGTTAGGTGCAAGAGGAACAAGATCCCATGTACCTTGACTTACCAAAGCAGTGAATTTCTCAGACATGGCCTGCCTCCACCGATGATCTTTCAGTGCTTGACTCACACATGTTGGCTCAACTTCCGAACAGGGAGTTTCAGCAAGGTAGAGTTGCTTTGGTTTTAAAATCTGGTTTTGAGAAGGAGTTACCATAGGATGAGTGCAGATGGGTGGATCTATCGGTTGAAGGGGAGAAGATGAGGTAGGGGCTGACAGATGGTTGTTAAGATTGGATGGAGGTGAGGCAGTGGAATAGAATGAAGATTGGGAGCCACCTGTGTGAGCAGGGGAAGATGCTGGAGAAATGGTGGGTAAGGTAGTAGGTGAAGGGGATGACGAGTGAGTGATGGGTGAGTTGGGTGAGGGAGTGGATGGAGTTTGAGACAGAGAAGAAGGACGTGAGTCAGGTGAGTCAGGTGAGTTGGGTGAGGGTGAGACGGAGTGGCTGGATAGAGAGTTGGTGGTGGAGGGTACGGTGATGGTAGTGGGGAATAGACCAAGGAGAGGATTAGAGGAAGCTGCAGCAGTGGGGTATGATCCTTGCCAAGTGGACAACGGGGATGACCTTAAAGGTCGACGTGGCTCAATGGAGATTGGCATGGTCGATGAGGAGGTTTCAGAGGAGAAAAGATGGGAACCCAAAAAGGAATTTTTAAAGTGAGAAGTGGGTGTGGTGTCAGACTTGTGAGAAGTAAATGGGAAAATTTTTTCATTAAATAAGACATGCCTAGAATAAAAGATTTTATTTGTTTGAAAATCAAAACATTTATATCCTAAATTTTCTATAGAATACCCAAGAAATAAGCATTGACGAGAGCGAAATTGAAGCTTATTTTGTGTATATGGGCGAAGCCAAGGATAACATGCACAACCAAAAATTCGAAGTTTTAAATAATTTGGCTTTATCTGAAATATTTTTTCAAACGGAGATTTAAATGAAAGAGTAGAGGAGGGCAACCGATTAATTAAGTATACTGCTATGAGAAAAGCATGAGACCAAATCTAGGTGGCAAAGAAGCTTGGTGAAGCAAAGTGAGACCAGTTTCAACAATATGTCGATTTCGACGCTCACTTATACCATTAAGTTCAGGAGTATAAGGAGGTGTAGTGAAATGAGAGATTCCATTTTCAGAAAGGAATCTTCGTAATCCAATATATTCACCTCCTCCATCCAAATAGAAATTCTTGATTTTTGTACCAAATTGGTTTTCAACTAAAGCTTTAAATTTAGGAAAAATAAGAGAAACTTCTGATTTTTGTTTTAAAGGGAAAAGCCGTATATAACGACTAAAAAGATCAATGAACAAAACAAAATAATTATAACCATCAATAGATAAAAAAGGAGCTGGACCCTAAACATCCGAATAGATAATTTCTAATGGTGCTTGACTCTTGACAGAAGAATGACCAAAAGATAGCTTGTGACTCTTTGAACAAAGGCAAGAATCACAAGAAAAATGGTCTACCTTGGATGATGTCGGTAGGCTATTCTCACTAAAAATTTTATTTTGAACCTTTGAGGATGGATGTCCTAACCGAGCATGCCAATCTATCAAAGAGGTACGTTCACCCACCAAAGCACTTGGTTGTGATATAGATTGGTCCATGAGAGGAAACTCATACACCCCATTTTTGTTTTGTCCACGAAGCAATATCGCCCCCGTGCTGCGATCCTTCACAAAAAAATGAGTAGTGTGAAATTCAACAATAACATTGGCTGATCTACATAATTGATGGACAGAAATTAAATTTCTAGAAGCACCGGGTACACATAAAACATTGTCTAAAGGAAGAGATGTATTTTGTGTGGAAACTATAGTTTGTCCCATATGTGTGATTTCCAATCCTAAGCCATCACCGATTAAGAGTTTATCAAGACCAGTGTACTGGGAATGTAGAGTTAAGTTCGCCAAGTCGGAAGTCACATGACTATTTGCACCTGAATCAATGAGCCAATTATTAGCAGAGTTATGAGACATAGCTGTAAAAGTTGCCATAGGTGAGTTAGGCAATATACTAAAGTGAGAACAATTTTGTGCCATGTGGCCTGACTTGTTACACAATTGACATGCCAAGGGAGTACGGTTGCTAGGCTTGTTTATGGAGTTTTGGTGAGCCATGGTCTCGTTTGAGAGGGAGGCTCTGATACCACTAACAGAGTTTGAACAAGGGAATTCTGAATAACTTAATTTTATTCATGAGTATGCAACACTTATATATACAGGCGCACAAACTTAGTAACCCTATTACAAAAGGAAACATAATATAATATTCACTAAATCAAAGATTGACACTAAATCAAGGATTGACATAAATAAGGAGCGGGAATTGCTCATGAAGAGATTGCAGAGATCTTTTCCTTAACAGTGAGAAGATGGAATTTTTGTTGATTCTTATTTACTTTTCGGAATCTTTTCTTGCAATTTCGTATTGTGGAAATTAAATTCAAGATTAAGTGAACATTTTTCTTTTTACTAAAATGAAGGTTATATTGATTAGTATATATCTGACTTTGTATTTTCTCAAGTTGATACTTGGAACTGAAAGATTCCTAACTCATTATAGATTCCAGTTTTCTACTTTTGGGGTCTTGAGAATCAAGGGTGGCAAATGGAAGAAATTCAATCACAATCAGACAATTATAGGTCTTCCTTTTCACTTGGGCATTTCTATATTTCCTCATCACTTGGCCATTTGTACATCCACTATGTTCTGGATTCATTCACGTGTAAAGGGTGACAAGTAGACACATTATATCAAAACCCACAAGCTTGAAGTATGCATCCACACCTCGCAAAGCGGGGTGGAACAAGCTAGTAATAGTAAAAAAGTGGGGTTTCACTAATCAGAAGTTATCGGCCTTCAGCAAGTGACATAGTATTCTCACATACGGAGCTTGGATTGTTGTCACTAGGTTGATCAAATTTTGATGGGTTATGGAATGTAAAAGTAGGTTCTTTTGGTTGCAAAAGCTCCGTTTCACTGCTTAGCATGGAAATCACTGCTGCCATGGTTGGCCTATTTTCAGCATGGTCCTGAACACAAAGAAGAGCAATCTGTATGCACCTCTTTACTTCAGTCGAGGAAAATGAATCAGCCAGTGCTTCATCAATTAAGTGTAGCCCCTTGCCTTTATTCCATAGTTGCCATGCCTGATACAATGTAGTGTGGGTCAGTATTAATTTAGAAGACAAATAATGCAGAGATGCAAATTTGAAACAAGAAGGGCAGTACTTACATGGGAAAGAAGGCTTAGATGTTCATCGTTGTAGAGGAACCTAGTAACTTTCTTGCCACTAACAATCTCTAATAGCAGAACTCCAAAGCTAAAGACATCTGATTTCTCAGAAAATATTCCAGCTAATCCATACTCAGGAGACATATAGCCACTGAAGTTTATTTGGAAGACAGAACAAGAAAATTAATATTGATAATGTTTATCAACAGCTAGTTTTCTTGCTGGTGCTATCAATAGCTAGTTGAAGTGTTGAACCACATAATTTCTTTATTCAACTTAATCCGTAACTGTTCACTGGTGTCAACTAAATCTATTTGTTTAAGGAGAAAATCTAAGGCTTATGGCTCAGCTTATTTATATTTGTGCACTTTCTGTTGCCAATTTCTGAGGGTGATATTTAATTCATGAAGAATAATAGTTGAATATGTTCAAGAAGAAGATCTGTGCTTACAGTGTTCCAACCACCTTGTGAGTATTTGCCAGGTATTGTGTCCCTTCAAAGATCCTTGCCAATCCAAAATCTGAAATTTTTGGGTTCATTTTTTCATCTAAGAGAATGTTGCTGACCTTCAAATCACGGTGTATAACCCTTAAACAAGAATCACGATGGAGATAAAGAAGCCCACGAGCAATCCCTTGGATGATGTCGAAACGTTCTGCCCAAGATAGTTCTGCTCTTTTTGTTGGACTTGGATCTAATAAAATGCATCCACTGGAAACATGATTAACACTTACAATTCTCTTTTGATGCAATATATCAAAAGTTATCAGCAAAATTCAGGCTGGCAAGATTACTAATCCTGCAGGCTTAAGTCTAGGAACAATATTCAATGCAGGGGAAATATCACGACTTTATGGTTAAGAAGATGATATGATGAGATGTGATATGATGCAACTAAGGAAGAAAAGAAAAATTCTTGGTGGAACCTACCAAACAAAAAATTATCCAAGCTTTTGTTGGCCAGAAATTCATAAATTAGTATTCTTTCTTCTCTTTCAACACAGCAACCAATTAGCCTGACAAGATTTCTGTGTTGTAGTTTGGAAATCAACCTGACTTCGTTCTTGAACTCTTCTAGGCCTTGTCCTGAGCTACTAGAGAGTCTCTTGACTGCTACATCTGTTCCATCATGTAGCTTTCCCTAACAAAAATCACAAATTCATCAAGCTGTGCTGTCTAAGTACCTTTGTAGAACCATGAAGCACTCTTTCTTTGACAAAGACATTATTACTCACCTTATAAACTGGCCCATATCCTCCTTGCCCAAGTTTATTAGCCATGCTGAAGTTGTTGGTAGCAACTACCATGCTATCAAAATCAAACAAAGGTAGCTCCTGTGGCTCTCCTTTGTTTGCAATGCTTCTCAACGGAGATTCCAGGAAAGTGTCGCTGGGACTATCGCTTCTAGGATCTGGATCAAAGTTTCCCAAGGTTCTGTTCTTTTTACCTGATTTTTCAAATTCAAGTAATGAATTCCTCTATTCCAAGCCATGAACGTAAGAGCATATAAGAAAATAACAAAAAGGAAAAGCTATTGTATGTAGCAATGTTTTCCGAGCAGAAAGTGATGTAAGGCTTACTCTTTTTAGTATTGAATTCCATCTTTTGAACACACAAAGAATTTCAGACAAGTTCCCTCTTGTCCTTAGAAATTGAGAAAGGATGGGTATAAATGCATTAATTTCATTTCTCATTCATCATTCAAGTGATTTGACATTTTACCCCCATGGCTTTTAGCTCAGAAGTCATAAATAAGCAATCAGTGCTTATCGTCACATACTAAGTTAGGAATCTAGTCATCCAAAAAATTATTTCCGAAATTGATCTGAAGGACAATTATTGTTTCCTACAAACATCCTAGAATTGTTATAGAAAATGAATCTCCACCAAATTACTAGTTCATTTTGGACCTTGCTTTGGCAGGACCAAAGTGAACGGCATTCTATCCAAAAGCTGAGGAAAACTTTCCATTTATACAAACCAAGTATCAAGATTCAAGATCAGTTTCTTACCAATTTTTTTTGATCTCTGCCTGCATAAACCATAGACTAAGGCACCCAAGATGATGATACAAGAAACGGTTGTGAGGCTGATAACGAGATCTACTCTTAGCTTCCCACCAGCTGAAATGGGAACAACGAGCAGATAAAATAATGAAATGAATAAAGATGAATCAATCGTGGTCTGAAGGGAGAGAAAAACTAAAATCATTTTTGAAAATATTGCTTAAGCCTGTAATAAGTGGTGATTAATTAAAAATACATACAGAATATAAAATTTTATTAATTAATTATTGCATTTTTAATTTATTAAGAAAATTAAACCTATTAAATTTAACGGGAAAGGTGATATTTTCAAAAAAATGATGATAAATAAAATGAAAATTTGGAATCAAAATTTGAAATTAATGATGTGACATAAGATATGTCATTTAAAATATAAAGAAGTAAATTATATATTATTTAATAATTAACTCATTTTATTTTTTTAAAATCCATAATCTTATTTATATTAATTAATTTAATAATTTAATATAAACTATGTCATTAATTCTAAATTTTCACTTTTCCTATTATTACTCTTTTCAAAATAATGCCGATGAATTTAGTTTTAATTAGGTCTAAATTCATTAAAAAAACTAGAATTATTTAAAAATAGAGGAATTAATAATATGAAAAAAATTAAATACCAATTTCAATTCCTTAACTTTAAGGTTTTATACAATTTTAATCCTTTAACTATTTTAAGTACTATTTTAGTCTCTTGACTCTAACAATTGTACCATTTTGGAGTGCAATTAGGCCCGTTAACTTAATCTACAGTGACATTTTTTCTATTTATTTTAATGACACAGATAATACAACTAAGAAACAATACTTACATGGACTAAAACTGATGCCACCTACTTAATGTTAGGTTAAAAATAAAATGGTTAAATTCAATAAATAATTTATTAGCTATGTGATCTATTTTCGTTTAGTCTAGAAACAAATTTTCTTTCAAAATGATATATAAATTATCAAATTTGTATCAAAATGGTTTACTTGACAAACATTCGTTAACTAAACTAATAGAATTCTTTCTAGTGGGGTGTCACCTAATCTGCCACTGGCACCCCATGTGGCCCAAACCACGAATATAGAAAAGTTACCCCTCTAAACTTTTAGAAAATGTTAAATATAATACATATATTTTTGTTTTTACAACATTTTGTTTTTCAAGTTTAAATTCTATATTAAATGTAATAATTAATTAAGATAATAATTTCAATTTACATTGATCAAGATTCCAATTTTAATTTACACTAATCAATATTATAATTTAAATTTTATTATTTCTTAAAAAAACTTAATGTCATTATTAAATTACATATTTTTTTCACTAATTTGTATAGAAAAATAAAAAAATTTTATTTTATTTTCAACACTAATAACACATGCATGATTTTAATTTGGGGATTTATAAAATTGAAATTAATTTTTATTTTTTCAAGTAATTTTAATAATGTGTGGGGTGCTCATTTAATTAAGTTAAATTTAGAAAGGGTTTACTCGTCAAAAATATTAAAATTTAATAATGAATTAAAGTTTTTTAGAAATAATAAAATTTAAATTATAATATTGATTATTGTAAATTAAAATTAGAATATTAATTAATTTAAATTGAAATTTCATCTTAGTTAATTACTACATTTGACAAAAAATTTGAATTTTAAAAACAAAATGTTGCAAAAAATAAAAATATATATATATTATATTTAACATTTTTAAAAAGTTTAGAGAGCAGTTTGTCTACACTAACTTTACTTCGTGTGTTTTGAGTCACATGGCAAGCAAGTAGTGAATCAGGTAGCACCATGTCAACAATAAAAACAAATTCAATTAGTCTAGTTAACAAATGTTTGTTAAATAGACTATTTTGATACAAAATTAATAATTTATAGATTGTTTTGAAAAAAATTGTTTTAGAATAAATTAAAATAAATCACATAATTAATAAACTATTTATTGATTTTAGTCAAAATAAAACCCATTCAAAATAAATGCTTATACAATTTTTTTAGGTTAAATACTAATTTTGGTCTCCCAATTTAAGATTTTACACAATTTTCATCCCTCAATTTTTTTTTGCACTTTTTTTATCTCTTTACTATGAAAAATGTAATTTTTAGTTTTTTATCAGTTAATCCGTTATATCTATCTAAATCTACACATTTTTCGTCCCTTATTAAGGTTAAAAGACAAAAATGTGCATATATTAGAAGTTAAGGGACTAAAAATGTATAGATTCAAAAAGACTTAACGGATTAACAGATGAAATGACTAAAAAAATGCATTTTTTATAATTAAAAGACAAAAAAAAAGTTGAGAGATGAAAATTATGCAAAACTTTAAAGTTTCGAAACTAAAATTGACATTTAACCATTTTTATATTATTTTTTAAAAAAATTTTACTTATCATTTAAATAATTTATTTTTTATTTATTTAAAATTTATAATATTAAATATATATTTATTTAATAACATATAAAAAATTATATAAAAAATTATCTATATATCATAATTAATTACTTATTTATCCTAAAAATGAAAAAAAAAAAGAAAAAAAAAAAAAGAAGTTTAAACTTTCATTCGAACAACCCAACGATTACCGGGGTTGGAACAGACTGTAGGTTAAATGCATCCTTGTCAAAGCTTGAATGCATCATCAATTTTGATAGACATTATGCTATACCTATTCGCAACAAACTCATCATCAATTTTAACTCGGGTTCAACCAGAAAAAAAAAAAAAAAAAATTCTAGTGATTACTTCTTTTAGCACTTCTCTGACAGAAAACTTCTATAATGATTCCAAAAGCACATGGCGTAATAAACAATATAATTTGGGAAAATCAGAGAATTCAAACAAACAAAATCCAGAAATCTCATTTCAAAATCTAAACGAAACAATGAATTCAGTGCTATGAAGTTCTTCTATGGCAATGCAAAAGCAATGAAGGCACCCATTGGAAAACCCAAAATCTGGGTTCAAATGAACCCAAACATCTGAATTTCAAAAACACAAAAATCTGGGTTCAAAAACACAGAAATTTGGGTTTCCACAAACTTAGAATAAGGTTCAAACAAACCCAGATTTGGGTTTATTTGAACCGAATGTAATACCCCAAAATTTGGGGATATTTTAGCATTAAATAAGGGATTTATTTGAGGGAAAATATTATGGAGGGGCTTAATGATCACAATGTCCAAACTTGAGGGACTTAAAAAGAAAAGAAATTAGGATAAGAATGGCTGAGTTGTTCTTTCTTTTTCTTCTTCCTTATCCGCGTGATCTGCTCTTCTTCTTCTCCACTGCACCCGACAAGCCCCCCAAGCCACCGACTTTCTTCCCCCTTGAGAAACCCGGTGGGATCTTGATGAATTCTCTTCCTTTCTTGTTAAATCACAAGATTTGGGGCTTAGAATCTTCCCTCTCAACCCAGAAAATCCCGGATCTGCTCTGCTCTTCTCCCCTGTCCGCCGGCGGCTATGTGGGTTTGAATTTCTGGGCATTTTTCGGGTAAGCCACAGCCAAGAAATCATCTCTTTAACCTTGATTTAGGCTGGGTTATGCTAATTTCTGTTTATTTCCCTAAATTTTTGGGTAGTCCGTGAGTTTCCTGCAGCTTGCCGCCGGCCTCTTCTTCTCCCTGCTAGGTCCGGTTCTTGCTGGAAATTTCTGGTATGATGGCCACTTCTTTAAGCCCTAAATTAGCCATTTAATTGCTGCCTTGTGTGTGTCCGAATTGTGCCAGAAATGGGGAGGAATTCCGGTAGCATTTAGTAGCATTTTAAATGTGTTTTAAGCTTGATTAAGTAGAATTTAGCTTGAATTAGCTGCTGTGATGTTTTGTGTGAAAATCCCGTGTGTGTGAATTGTGATTTGCCAAAGTTATGCTCTCCCTGTGCTGCCGTGGGAAATGGGAAAATTTTGGTAGATTAAGTTATGTTTTTAAGCTTGGTTTAAGTGTAAATTAGCTTGGATTGGGTTGTTGTGATTTTGGAGTGAAATCCCGTGAATTAGCTAGTGTTTTGGCCAAATTGTGGAAGTCGGAGTTACTGTTCACGTCGTGAGAACTGTTCGCGGGTACTGTTCATAGGCACTGTTCACACCCCGAGAGTCGACAATTAACGGGGATTTAAATGATTAGTTTGTGATATAAGAACGAATTTGGAGATATTT